GATTAGCACTTCTCAGAAGATGCTTATAGTTTCAGGGTCAACAACTAATAGGGCTAATAGGGCTACATCAATTAACATGGTTAGAATTTGTTCCATTATTTCAGAGAAGCTAAAAAATTGGAGTGGCTTCATTTCAGGAAGAGAGAACCAACGTGTAAAACAGAGACTGTAGTAAACCCAGAGATTGTAGTGTATACAGGTGTAAAATGGGATAGTCCTTGCATCATCTTTTTGCAAGAATTTCCGAGAACAGCTGAATAAGGTTCAGAACAAGAAGAACAAAACTCTCATTTGGCTTTTGTTTTAATGTAGTCCTAATGTTTCCTTAAACAAAGACTTGACTTTTTGCTGTGCAACAATCACAGTAACGGTTGGAGCCTCCCAGCCTTATGGGTACTCACAGTTTCTAAAACAGCGGCTGCAAAAGCCAAAGTCTTTCTCTTAGTGAAGAAAGCAGTAGTGTTGGTTGTCACCTTGGTGGAGGCTAGAGCAGACTTTTTGTCCCTTCACTTTAAGACAAGATGTAATATAAAAGAAAAAAAAAAAAAGAAAACCAAAACCCAAAAAACAACACAGAAGTTGGTTTATATCCCAGAAGATTCCAAATAGGACATAAAATTTGTGCTTACAATAGATTGATAATAAAAGATTCCTAGATTCTGTAGGTAAAAATGGAGGCTGAAAGGAATGTCATTGGTTCATCGGTATCAACAGACTGAAGAAATATGTTTTCGTTCTCTTCTTTTGCATTCACACCTGATGATCAGCTTCTCAGTGTGGTTTATGATGCCAAGAATCCAGGTCATTCAGTCTTAGGAAAAGACCACCTTTTCCTTTGTGCTCCTTTTCAAGTCACGCACTGCAACTCTGCCATCATCACAGGAACAGTTTTGGCATGTAGTTAGGTCAATAGTTGAATTTGTTACTTCAGGAAAGAATAAAAAGTTGCTAGAAATATGCAGAGTCTGTATGTAAGCAGACAGAAAATGGACCTAAGATCACTTCTTCATTTGTAGCTATTCTCTCTTGAGTTCTCTAAGCCTGATCTTCTTGAGTCTGAAAAGCAACTAATGGCTTTGAGTGCTTTAACAGGGCATTGGCAGAACATGAAGAGTTTGCGGGATATACATGTTCTTAGCACATCATATTCTGCAGCCCTTTGTGCTGCTATAAATGTTAAGTGACTTGAATGCTGGTAGCAGAGTTTGTCTAGATTTATATCCGTGAAACAGTAAGATTTGGTGCAGCCTGTAGATTATTTAGCTTCCTTTTACCTGAATTCATTGCAGCTCTTGGATCTCAGTTAATTGCACCATTGCTTAGAGTTACAAGGCTCTCTGATAACTCTGTACTTTTATCTTTGGAGTAAGATACGTTGTTATGAATTATACACAAAAAAAAAGTCTGTCACTCCACCTACATAGGACATTTTCTGGATATATGCAGATTTGCCTGTCAAATTACTCAGATTCCTGTTAAGCTGTGACGGCTTACTTCATTTGCTGCAGCCCATGAATACGAAATGACAGGGTCAAACTGTGTTAGCTTTGACTTTTGCTTTCCTGACTTTTTTTACTTTGAGGTAGACATTTAGTACTTCTCAGTATATTATCTGAAGACTGTCTGTGGGAGATGTTCTCTTTAGCTGTTTCTTCCTATATTGAATCTCCATTATGCTAACAATAACAATTATCTTTTTTACACTCACATAGCATTTTTCAGAGCAGCGCAAAATGCTGAATGGACCTCATATCACTTTAATTTGTCAGTCCTGGCTATATAGCTCCCTCATAGTTATCACAGATATTCTTACTTTTGAGTAAAAGAGGAGAAAGGCAGAAATATCTTTTCAGTTGGGAAATGCTGATATTTTAAAATGGCAGTGACTGTAAACTGCTTTTTTAGAGCTACCTATTTTTAAGAAATAAATGAAATTCTGCAGTGTGCTTCAGGATGGAAGGAGTTAAGTGAAGTGCTATCTACCTTTCAAAAATAAATTTTGGGGACAAATTATTCATATGATCAGAGTCAATCTTTCTTAGCTACTAATCTTTCAAGCTGAGTTCTTCAGAAATAGCTGAATACAGATTTCCCAATAATTTCTCAGTGTCATGTTTCCCTCTGTTGTAAATGTATTTTGCAATAGTCTGTGAGCACGGCTGTAAAATTTATTGCTTGCCAATAACTATGCACCAGCTCTCTAATATCGGAGAATATTTGATACAATTACCTATGGTTAATAATATTTCTCTCTTCAAACAGTGTTGCTGAAGCCAATGTATTACTCAACATGAACAAACACATCACAATCACCCCTATGTCTTTGAAATACAAACTTGTGGTTAATAATGATAAATTTGTATTCAACCATGTTTCTGTGTTCTAGGCTGGCTGGATACATTGCTTACATGTAATGGAATCACACAGCAGTCTTGTGCATGCATATATAGTTAGCATGATGTTGAAGAAGGGAAGAGTTTCTCCTTTGACAGTATAAGGAGATTGTGTTGATTGGATATCATAAAAAGAAAGACTATTACTGTCTATGATACCTCCTTTCTGCTTTTCTGAGGTCTCACAACTGATGTCTACCCTTCCTCAGCTGAAGTTGCTCCTCAAAGTTACATAGAGCTAAAAAGCCCCACTGCCTTGTACTCCCGTGGGTATTTCTACTGGTGTAGAGTGAGTGTAAAATGGAGTGAAAATCCAAATCGCACCATAGCTGGAAAATCAGCTGGAAAATTTTGAAATTTTCTCAAGTAAAGGAAAGTTATTGGTTCTCAAGAGTTAAACTGATGTTCCTCAAAAATATCACCAGTAATTACTGTGTAGCAATTGACCATTAAATTGAAATTAAGCCTAATATGGATTCTTGGTAGACTCTTTGTTTCTTCAGTAGAAGAGTTTCACCTCTGACGAATACAGCATTAATCTGTGCGTCATCATAAAACAAATGAATTAATAAAATAAATTATATTTTAATCTGTTTAATTTTTAAATTATGTATTATTGGGATTGTCTGTACTTGATCTGCAGTAATCTTTGCTCAAGAAAAGAATTAGAGATTAAGTTTTTCTTTTTTTTTTTTTTTTCTTTTTTTACAGAGACCATGTAATAACCTACTAGCTCTCAAATAACAAATGTTCAGTAATCAGGCAAGACATTGCTTGGACTAAAGACATAAACAATATTATAGATTCAATTATATATTCAAAGTGATTTAGTGGATTAGCTGTTGTGCGCACACGTTGGCCGCGATGCAGTGTGGTATAGTCTGTAGCTACATATTTCATAAACTTGTGACTATTTTAATTTCACATAGAACTGAACAGAAACCAGAGTTTTCACTTTATGGACAAGTCTGCTACTTTGAAATGTATGAGTCAAATGGAAAATAAGTGGTATATACATTTCTCTGAAAGTAAAGCCATGGTAGAATGATGATTTTAAATCAGCTGAAATATTTATTTTCTTCTAACAGCTTAAACATTTGGAAGAGCTAAAAAATGAAAGTGGCTCCATTTCAAGGAAAGAGAACTGAATGTAACTTTTAAATAAATTAAGAAAAATGTATACAGAGGTAAAATGGTGGTAGTATGTGCATCATCTTTTTAATAACAATAAGAAATTTCATATAAATAATCATATTGTTCCAATATTTAATGAAATGTATTTTCCTTATCAAAATGTTTTTCTAATAGTATGCCTGTAAGACGAAAGTGATTTCACAGTAGGTGCTGAATGTAACTTTTAAATAAATTAAGAAAAATGTATACAGAGGTAAAATGGTGGTAGTATGTGCATCATCTTTTTAATAACAATAAGAAATTTCATATAAATAATCATATTGTTCCAATATTTAATGAAATGTATTTTCCTTATCAAAATGTTTTTCTAATAGTATGCCTGTAAGACGAAAGTGATTTCACAGTAGGTGTGCTATGAAATTTGTTGTATTCCCAGTTTTGGTTTTGATGACATGGCATTTGCTAGCAGAAAAATGATGCATCAGAACAAACTAGGTTAGCTTCCATTACATACTTTAAGCTAGGTTGTGATCTCCTGCCTTACACTGGGCCCTCAGTGTAAACAAAAGTAATCCAGAAACCCTTAAACTTGCACAGTTTGTTTTCCAGAGGATTTTCGATCATTTACATGTCTCAACTTTTTATCCTGTCCATCTCTCTATTGCCATCATACAGCAGTCAACAGCTGCACCTCCTGTATATTCATGTACCTTTACATAACTGTGAATTTTACTGTATCAATGTAGAAGATGCAGACTTATATTTCTTATAGGTTATTTATACAGTGCTGTACAAAATCTTCCAAACAAAATGTGTAGTATGTTAATTTCTACGTGACAGACAACTGAGGCATTGCCATTTTAACACTTAATTAAAAGCCAATGGTCAAGCAGCTGAAGATGACAAACCCCATTCTCTGACAAACCCATGGTCTTTCTAAAGTCTACATCAATCTGGTGTATCTAAGGTCTGCTTAGATTTAGAAGTCAAGTTCCTTATGAAAATAAGATTGATACCAAAACTAGATTAATTTCACCAAATGTTAGAGAGAGAAAAGTTAGGTGACTGGCACAAATTAACTTAGAAAGAAACACTTCTGGATGGGTGTTTTTTTTAATTTATCATGCACAGCCACCTTAAAATGAGATGAGTCATTCACTGACATGCCCCTTTCTCTCCACACACACTACAGAGAAAGCTAAGCTTCAATTAGAGAGCTAACCTTGGGTGGATAAAACCAGCAGACGTAAAATCCACGTATAGGAATGTAAGGCTTTTCGCTGCTTCTGCCCAGAAACTTATTATTCAGCTTTTAGGAAGTAAGGAGATAGCAGGAGGAATAGAGCCAGAAAGAAGGACGAATAAATGAGCACCACACTCTTCCTAGTCACAACTCCCGGTTACCTTGTTGAGTTAACCTCTTTTTACATGCTGGTAAGCAATCAAATGAAAGCTCAAAATGCTTTACCATACCTGATTGTGGACTTTGTTTGGGGATTTTGGCTGCTGCTTCAGGGCTGGAGGTGGCACGCACACGCTGATTGGCAGAGTTATGGATGCTACTTGGAACAGCTGCTGAGATGTTTTTGCGAGGTTTCATGTCTTGCAACCACATTGGAGATGCCTCAAAGGCTTGCATTCGCCGAGAATGGCTGTTAACGTTGACTTTGAGAAATGCCTGGGCCTTGTATTCCTGAAGGTCTCCATAGTTGGCATCGGTCACCCTGCACTCATACAAGCCTTCATCCTTTTTCCTCACTTTTGAAATCTGCAGCTTGTGGGAGATGTCATTCCCTTGTACTTTCACTGTCTGCAAATTTGCCAGGAAAAAAAACAAGCAAACAAACATGTTGTCAGGTATTATTCTTTCTCTGGGAAGACTCTACTGATGTAGAGCCTGTCCACAGAAGTCAAGTGCCAAATTAATCATTGGTGTGATTGTGCTTACTGCAGGGAAGTTGCGTCAAGGATGAATATGATTATTTGTATCTAGAGGATGTCTGACATCTTCTTTCCAAAACTGTTTAGATGGTTTGCTCTGAAATGCAATTGGCCTCAGACAAACAACCCAAACTACTGTCCTCATTCTTATTAATGGCTTAAAATCATGAACATTCTTAATGAGCTTTCTTACATAAACCTAATATCTTTGCACTTCATTGGTTAAACCTTTCCAGTTAGCTGGCTTTATTGAATAATTCAGTTTTTTAACTAGTGCATTAACAATTTTGTTGGAGATGTTTGCCAATATTTAAACTTCTTTAATAATGATATATTAGTTTATCTTGTAGTCTTCACTACATTGAAACTGCATATTTGACATTCAATTTGTCTCCTTTGGGTGTATCCAAACCTTTGGTATTTTTTATTTATTAACCATAACAAGACAACTTGTGTCAGTTTTTTTTTTTGTCTCATTTATATAAATATGTACTTATTAGAAGTAATTTCTGCAACACGTATTCATGTAGCACATATTCAAGATCATTTTAAAAGTTGCCATCTAAAATAAGACTCCTGATTTATTTTTAATTGCTTTTAATATCTGAGGGTAACATAACATATTTTTGTCTCACATAATTAAAACACACATGAGTAAATTATGCATCCAGAAGTGTGTGATAGGTATTAAGATGCATTAGGTAAGGTAACACAGATTCCTCTCTGTGTGTTCCATCACTTTAGAAAATTTATATTTAATTCATTGAATATTACTCTCTATCTGGATTAATATTTGTTGCCCCGCAGGAAGCCAGTCAAAAGGGATTCAGTGGGACAGAAAACTCTGAAGAATTCCTGAACCTGGTTTATTTCCACCATTACATAAACATTGATGCAAATGTTGCTTTGTGTCATATCAATGACAGGCAACGAGGAGACATCAGGGTGATGAATATATGGTAGATCGCAAAAATGGAGAATTGTTAGATTGAAACTAGGCACGTGTTATTGGTGATTATACAGTGCATTGCTTCTGATAGCTTGGCATGCTTTAGTCACCAGTGTTGGCAAAGCGCCTATTCTGCCTGCCTGATAAATTGAAGAGCAATACTTGTGAATACATTATTGCTTTAAGGTATTGGATGGACTTTACAGCCTGTTGTGTTGTATCCAGCTCTGAATTTATACTTGGCAAACTGAGTTGAAAGTATGGATTGCATACTTTCAGGCATAATATATGCAATATTAATTACACAGAAAGTGTTGGATAGTTATTTAAACCATATTCAATAATAATATATCCCTACTGAACAGCTCGTATTTAGCAAAAGGATTAAAGAAGTTTCAGATGAATGGAAAGAGGATCTGTAGATCATATTCTGCCTTCATTTGCTCCCATGCAATATCTGCAAAGTTAACAGTGTTGCATAGCACTAATGAAAAACAGAATGTGTTTTGGGTTTTGCATTTGAAATTCAGAAATTGTTGCAGTCATCATGTATGCATGTTTTCAGTGTATGCCTGATTATCATTTGAAACCAATAGAAGTGGTGTATTTCAGCACAGTTTAAAAACACATTTAGTGTATTTTACCGTTTCTTCAAAGAATTTCCTAAATGCACTTAAAAGTTTGCTCTCCTCTTCATGAAGATACTTCCCAGTAGTACTAATGGAGACTATGTGTGTGCCTTCAAGAAAGAAAAAAAAGAAGGCTACATTTGTAACAAGTGTATTTAGACTGTCAAAGTGTATTTAGACTGTCAATCTAATGTTGACTTTTTTTTTATTGCAAATATAAAATGTTTTATGCAAACTTATGAAAACACTGTATGAATACGCCATTGTGAATTATTATCACACATAATGAGAGAAAGAGATTTTTAATTTGAAAGATGGGATAAGCTTTACAGCCTATACTGTGTCACAGATCTTATGGATTACTACAGGGATTTTGAATGAGCCAGTATTGATAAGGAATAAATTGGCTGCTAGCACTATGTCTAGTGGAATAGTATCCAAAGACCACATGTGGGCCTCTTTTGTAAGACAGTCTACAAATGCAACTAAAGATATGGTCCATGACACAAATTGTTTGTAGTATATGGTGAGAAGTATGGTAGCAAATGTAAGTATGGCTAGAATGTGTATTGTTTTGAATACAACATATCTGAATTCTCATTTATAAATGCCCTTCAGCTATACCTAGCTGCACTTTGACCTGATGTAATTACTTGGTTAGTTATCTGTAGGCATCTAAGAGCAGCAGAGTAAGGGATTTAACAGAAGTGATTCACCTCTATCTGTTGCTGGTTTAAGCTTTGCTGGCACTTACAACCTTGGCTGCAGCTAAAAGGCACTTCTGAAGGAATTGTGTCTGGGAAAGGGAAAACCCCTTTGGGCTCATAAGGAATACTCATGCTGCAGTATCTGCTAAGTACCTGTGTCTTTCCACTACAGTAAGCGCCACACCATGACCCCACCACCATACATTTCTTGGGAGGCTGAGGGAGGAGGATCTGAACTCTTCTGAGGTCAGGGGCTGTGGCTGGGCCTGACTCAGGATATGGGTCTGTTGAGGAAGGCATCCTTTTCCTGGACAAGGGCTGGAGCAATGTTGCTCATAATTTTGTTGAGACAACGTTCTGGTTTAATCTCCAAACGACAGATCAGTAACCCTGGTGTCAGAACCCCACTTTCCTAAGAAAGAGTCTCAGTGGCCAAGAGTGGAGATTACTCCCAACAGGGAGGCCTTGTCTAAAGACTTTCTGAGCTTTTTTCTGCCAGCGGGTATGAACGTGCGAAAGCACCCATTTAAATAGTTGCACACCCCACTGAAGGAAAGTGCAGCTTCACGGCCAAATTTCAGCCTCAAAATCAGCTTTGGAGCCCTAAGGCAGACTCAGTCCAGGGTAAATGAAAAGAAGAGGTAAAAGGATGGGTGCAGGCTGTCTGCTTCACGGGGCGGAAACAGAGCCTGCCGGAGGTCTACTGCCCGGGCCTCGCTTGCCGATGCCTTCATGCCCAGGGGTCCCCAGGGGTGTAGGCTGCGTGGGGCAGGGCTGTCCTGGCACCCTCTCCCAGGGCCGGCGAGGAAGGAGCTGCGGGCTGCCGGCCGCCTGCCCGCTTCAGCTTGCGGAGCGGATGGG